CAACCATTTAAGGACAAGGCGTTTATTTTTGTTTTAACGAACCGTCAGTCATATTTTTAACGTTTGAGCTCATTTTTTACGACTTTTTTATTATTGTGTTGCTGTCATTAATGTTGTTATTATTGTTGTTGTCGATGAGTCATCTTACGAAACTTCTCCTGAGAGTTCTGATGATGATGAGAGGACGAAGCAGAATCAGATCTGAACTTTGAAATGTCCACTGTGGTTTTGTGGAGGATTGTGGCACAAGAAACTACACCATCTCCATGCTACGAATGATCAGCGAACGAACCATTAAAATGAAGAAAGACTCGTTGATATGCTTCGTCGACTATTCCAAAGCTTTTGATAGGAGCTTATGGAAATATTGAAAGATTTGGACATAGATGGAAGAGACACAACCTCTCTTGGAACCAAAGAGCAGCGATGAAAGTTGGTAACAAGATGACTAGTTTTGTCAAAATAAAGAAAGGTGTTAGGCGAGGCTGTGTATTTTCTCCAGACCTGTACAATCTCTATTGTGAGATCATCATGAGAAAGATAGAAGATCTACCTAGAATATCCATTGGAGGCGTGAATATAAACAATGTAAGATATTCTGGTGATACACCTCTTATAGCAGATTCAATGGAAAAACTGCAAACAATTGTTTCCAAATTTGTTTTTGAAAGTGAAAGGAAAGGCTTGCAAATTAACATCAAGAGAACAGAGTGCATGCATGGTTATCAGTAAAAGCACAACCTGCTTTTACTATTATTGATGTTAGTAAAATTATTAATATTTTAATTATTTTGATTATTTTTTTTACAATTCTTTGTTAATTAATTTTCATAGAACAAACATGAACACACACACACACACACGCACACGCACGCACACATACACATACACGCATTCCATGTGATAGAAATGGGATTACGAAATTAAAAAAATACTGACAGACGATAAACAAAATATGACAATAAGTGTGTGTTGTACATAAAATCGCGTTTTTGAAATCATGTTTTTAATATAAGGAACGAAGGAACGAAAGAGAGAGAGAGAGAGAGAGAGAGAGAAAGAGAGAGAGAGAAAAGAGAAAGAGAAACAAGAAAATGAAAAACGATTAGAGACAGACAGACAGAATCAGATAAAGAGATAAAAAAAGAGTTTAACAGAAAAAGAGAATTAGGGAGAGAGAGAGAGAGAGAGAGAGGCAGAAGAAAAAATAAATAATTGTTTGAAAATAACTCTAAACACCAACAAAAATGAACATAACCAACGAAAAAATTATTTCAAAAAATAATAAAAAATAATTAAAACATAATTAAAATGAAAAAATTTACCTATCTTACTATCGCCCTGCACAGAGAAACTACATATAATCGACTCAAACGTACTATACCTACTGCCTATCAATAATAAAACAACCGAAGATGAAAGGACAAAAATTAAATAACTAACTAAAATCTCAACTGAAATTATAGCAAAAAATATTGCTGAATAATAATTATTATAAATTA